ATCTTAAAAACATATCTCCTCCCATATATTTAGATGAAAAAAATAGAAGAGGAGAAGAGAATATTTTTTAATTAATCAAATTATAACATTTCAAAAATATTATAATTTGATTGATTAAAAAATTTACTTTTTCATTTTTCTCAACTCAAACATATTATACCCTAACTTAATACATTCAAAAAAATTATTTTTTTAAATTACTTATTCCAAAACTTCTTTTTTTTTTTCATATCTTAATTGCACAATGAGAAACAATTATCTCTCATCCCTTATCTCTTATCTCACTCAATTATCTCTCATCCCTTATCTCTTATCTCACTCCACCCGCATACCATGCGACTTAAATTCAAGATCTTTTATTTTCAACGAAAAGAGATAATCACTGAGTTATTTAGATCGTTAGTGCTTATTCCAAAACTTGAATCATAAACTTGAAATAAAATGTAAATTTGCCTTGTAAACCCTTTGCACCAACTTACTTGTCAAATTTATATATGCTATGAAGTTGTTTATCTTATTTGAAGATTAACTTTGCAAAAACTTGTTAGGAAAAAGGTCCTTTTTTAGAGATTGGAAAGGAAGTCCTCATGGGTATGTATTAGGGACAAATTGAGATTGAAATCTTGATTTAAAGAATCAATTCTCTTTTTTGAACAGGAACAATTTAGGGGGTAGGGATGGGGAATAGTATGACATTATCATTCCTTAAATTTTGATCATTATTAAGTTATTGGATCCACTTAACAACTGGGTCATGAGGGTTGGTGCAAAGAATCAATTCTTTATTTTACTTTATTATGCAATTCTCTTGATTTCATAACTTAATTGAAAGAAGAGATACACGTTTTTCATGTGATAGGTAGAGTAATAACACTTTGTTTCATAAGTGAAAATACTATTGTATTTTACCCTTAACTTTCTTTTCTCCTCGTTATTAAAACTATGTAATGATAATAATAGATAATTATTTTCAATAAAAAAGATTAAAAGAGGAGAGACACAATTTCCAAACATATATAGGAATAGAATAATTATGTCCATTTTCTTACCTTATGCTTTGTTTGCATTTAAATAGGTACTAGAATACTGAACCTCGTGCTTTATCTGCATTTAAATAAGTGCTAGAGTACTGGACCTTGAATCAACCCTGAAACTGCAAATCATCTGAAAGAAATGACTTCTTTCTCAATGCTCTTCTCCTCCATGCCACTGTTCCCACAGCCACATTACCTCCTCCATCACACAGCAAATGCCATGTTCCTCGTCGAGTCCAATCTCAGGCTGCCCTCAAAATATCTAATCTGCCTCTCTGTAGACGATCAGCAAATTACAAGTCTCCTATGTGGAGCTTTGAATACATTCAATCAGTAAAAACTGAACATGTTGCATGTACTAACATAAATCACCTTGCCTTACAAGTAAGTTTATGTATATATTTATACACATACGTATATCTAACGTCTATGTAGTTGTATATGTGCTGGGAGAATCATTCGCCGTGCATTATAACTTAAAGGACAATGTGAGACTGATGCTAGGAGAAAAGCAGGCAGAAGGGGAGCCTTTGCATCAACTTGAGCTTATCGATACCTTAAAAAGGCTTGGATTGTCTAATCATTTTGAGAATGAAATAAACAGAGTTTTGGGGACGATATACAGCAATAATCAAGATCATTATGGGCTAAAAAGAGACTGTCTATACGCGACAGCTCTTGAATTCAGACTCCTAAGACAACATGGGCTTAATGTACCTCAAGGCACTCTCCAAGTTTTTATGTTCTATAGATAAATGAAGCCATGGTAACAAACTACTCTTACGCTGTAAGTTTTGATATATTCTTTGCAGAGATTTTCAACAGTTTCATAGATAAGAGTGGAAACTTTGAGTCTTGGCTCGGCGAGGATTGTAAGGGAATGTTGCATCTTTACGAAGCCTCATTCCTTTCAAAGGAAGGTGAAAATATATTGGATGCAGCAAGAACTTTCGCGAGAAAACATCTGAAAGAATATGTTAAGCTTAAAAGAAGTAAAGATCTGTATCTTTATATACTAGTGAACCATGCACTGGAGCTCCCACTGCATTGGAGGATGCTCAGGATGGAAGCGAGATGGTTCATAGACATTTAACAGCAAAGTCCAGACACGAATCCAATTTTGCTTGATGTTGCTAAAATGGATTTCAACCAGGTGCAAGCAATGTACAAAGAGGATTTAAAGCATGCTTCAAGGTAAGAAATTAACTTGGCGTATATAATCAAAGCTTACAAGATTTTGTAACAATAATTGATGCATATTCTATACTCTTGTTGCTGTTTCACACTATAATTTTTTTGGTTGTATAAAACTATAAATGTAGGTGGTGGAAGAGAACAGGTCTTGGTGAAAATTTGGGATTCATCAGGGACAAAAAGATGGAGAATTTCTTGTGGAAAATAGGAATGTTGTTCCAGCCTCGGTATGAATATTTTAGAAGAATGACCACACAAATTTTTGCACTAATAACACCAATAGATGATGTTTATGATATCTATGGAACTTTAGATGAACTTGAGCTTTTTACAGATGCCATAGAGGTTTGTATTACAATTATGAATTCCTCTTTTTTTTTTTTTTTT